GTCAGGCAGCATTCCAATATACTTTTCAAGGACATGTGTCAGCAATATAACTTCCTTCTACTGGGCCTTCTTTCAATGTTTCCACCACCTCCCAGTGTTTCTGCCACCTTCCAGTAGTGCTACAAGCTAATGAATAAGCCTTCAACATGTGAGCCTTTGGGAAACACTCCAGATCCAAACTATAGCACTGTTCCTATATGAATAAAACATTCAGTGTACATGAAAACATTTACCAGTAGTTACTTTGTTTCAATAGTACACTGGTACTCTGAAGAAGTGTACTAAATTTGGTAAAAACTATCAGTTCCCCCAAATCATTATAGATAGACAAATAAGATGAAGGACATTAAACGTCAAATATTTGAATTAAAAAATGGAAACTGCATTCACACCCTCCAAAAATGGTTACAAAATTGTCTGGACCATCATTTAGAGAAGCAAAGTTTTAGTTTTGAACTTGCAAGTGTATATAATAAATGCAATTTTGAGGTTTCAATTGCCACCTAGTATTAAGTAGAATAATAAATCCTTTAGTTAACACACCATATTGAAAACTGTAGAGAGCTATTCGACATAATTTGGGGGGAAAAATCATTCCATAATTAAATTATGCTTACGGTTGTGTAAGGTCTAGTCTTCTTGTCTGCAGGCGGGCTATGGCATGTGGAAACTAATTTCATGTGCCTCTGGTCCCAGCTGAGGCCTCAATGGTCCATTGATGTCATGACGCTCAACAGCAAGATTACATCAGCTGGAGACATTCTGGTTCTTTGAGAACTGAGTAGTAATAAAACAAAGAGAAAGGTTTCACCTGGGGAAAGCACAAATTCCTTATTAGCCTGCTATCTCCTCTCATCCCATTGTAAGAATGCTTTGCTCTCCTCACCGCCCTCATCCACATAAGATTACCACCACCCTCTGAGTCACCTAAGTCACCCACTCCCTCCAATTATTGTGTGCACCCAATAAATAAAGGCTAGCTTGGAGTGTCTTTTGTATTTGCCAACTCTAAAGTACTAACCTCCCAGAACCCCATGTAATTTGACATTATGTTTCTATTGTCTTTCTTTCCCAGCCCCAGTTTCTAGGCAGATCAGAGGACTGATGGGCCTCCAATAAAAAAAAAAAAAAAAAAAAAAAAAA